AGGGAAGAAGGTCCTAGTGTCGAAAAAGAGTTCTTCGAAGGAAATTCTTCAAAAATACCTTCACTACTGGCTGATAAGTAGATTGCATGAGAAAGCCCTGCGCGTCATAGCAGCACGTCTGTCCATAATGAGTGGAATAGGCACTGGAAAGAAAGGTCATCCAGTCACGGAGAAGCTTTAGGATCGACAACAGTGAATAGGTTTACCTTTCTCTCTCATGACCTTCGTTGCTCATACGATAGGTTGAACCGCGGACGTTCTGGGCCGACATGTAACAGTTCATCGAACCGAGTGTCTCCGTACATGAGACATCTCGGAAAAGCTGAAATTCAAGTGAAAATTCGAAAGAAAACGATACGGCAAGTCATTCAGGTTTTGTTCACATCCGACATGGTTGGAAAGAGTTCAAACGCATCAGAATGAAAGGCGGTCCCCAGGGTAACAAATACAAGTTGGACTAGATTGGAATAGCCAGAAAAACTCAATCTCAATTGGAATGCGTAAAAATGTAAGAATGCGTTCAGGTCTATATCAGGTCAGATCGGGTAGATTCTGGATCCCATATGACTATTAGGGAACGATTTCACCTACCGCACTGCATCTGGGATGAGGCATGAATCGTCCTAAATCCATTTTTGCTTGTTCTTCTTTGCATGGGCAGCTGGAATTCGTCTCAGTCTCACGGATGAAGTTCGACAGAGCTCCGTCTTCGTTGAACCATTCGTGACACATCTGACGAGACTAAAAGAATCTCGATTTTGGGGCTGAATGAGCTGCAGGTCATAGGTGAAAGTTTCTTATAGAAATTTACATCAAAGGGAAGTTTTGCTGGTGTCATATGTAGAAACAAATTTATCGATTTCCATCTATGAGCCGCATTGCCATTATTACATTCATTATTACTTCCTCAGAGTAATGTCATTAGATACCGGTATTCAGTATTATAATAACTTTTTCGTCAAGATTACCATTATTTCGGTCTAATATCATTGAAAGATCAATCATCATCAAAATTTGTTCCTCTTTTCCTAACTATTTCTATTTAAATACGTTCTATAATTCATTTCATTCACAGTATGTATTTTAGCACTTATTTCTTCAACATTTCAATGTCTTCCTTCCAGACTTCATGATGGATCAACTCTTTCAAGTCACAAAGTTCCAAGGACAAGCTAGCCAAGTTCGATCCCCCAAAAGCGCGACAAGGTGAAAGGGTGAGTTCAGACTAATACGGCAGCGGTTCCTCAGAATAACCTCATTAGGAAGAAGAAATTAATCACATTGTTCAATCAGATTATCAGTATTAGTAGGA